CAGACTCCTGCCCTGAGTTCCTGCCTTTCCCTCAATCACTTGGAAATATAAGATGCAAGAAACCTTTCCTCCCAAAGTCGTTTATGGTCAGAGTGTTTCTAGTAATAGAAAGCTAACTAGAACAAATATTAGCCATCATAACTGAGGGACTTTGCAAGTAGAGGCACCCTGCTCTGTGCTGACCTCTCATGCCCTAGCCTGGTATATCTGAGTGGGTTTTCAATGCTTGGTTTTAGATTCTCTATCTTTACCCTGCCCAGGACACCAGGACACTAAATTCCTCAGAAAAGTGGGAGTCCAAGGCTCAGTACCCCTTCTGGGATCTTGACTGTGAATGACAGTATGTGCTGTGAACTGCAGCACATAGACAAAACCAATTAAAAGGTCAGAGACAACGGGATCAGGGACAGAGAGAGTAGGCAAGAAAAGAGGCCTACCCTCTGAAGCAAAGCATCCTTTAGCTCCCACATGCCCAATGGTAACACAGACTAAGAACACATAACTGTGTGAGGGCACACAAAGGAAAAGTGGCTGAGAGAGGCCAGAGGCACACTGGCAAATGGGGGAAGGGCAGGAGGAGTTCACACTCCCATACTGTGTAGAATGTCCCTGGGACTTCTAGCATGAATAGAGGTAAAAAGAGGAAAAGAAATTCTCACACTCTTATTTAGAGCATTGGCCAATTTCCTTGGTGTAAATACTCCCAGGATGATAGCACTGAATTTGGGAAGAGCTGCATGGCAGCAAGCCAACATGGGGTTTTCTATAGTAACGCCTCAGATGGAACTAACCTTAAGAATGACAAAGTGTCATTAAAAGAATGGAAGTGGGGTCTGGAGAGATAGCTCAGCAGTAAAGCACACTGGCTGCTTCTGCAGAGGATCCAGGTTCAGTTCCCAGCACCCACATGGTGGTTAACAATCATCTGTAACTCCAGTTCCAGGAGATATAACACCCACTTCTGACCCCATGGGCATTGCATGACATAGGTGCACTTACACACACGCAGGCAATATACACATGCAACATAAGATAAAAAATAAGTAAAATATAAATAAATAAATCAAAAAAAAAAGACCAAGAAGTGATGAACTGGGAAATACTATTTGTTCAATTATAACTTTATATCATTCAATTTCTGATAATGCCATCCTTAAACTACTGGCTTTGCAAAATTCTTGAAAATTTAGCCTTCAGCCTCCTTACAACACCAGCTGGCTGGTCGGAAACTCCACTGGATAGGCAGCAAGGGAAACAGAAGTCAGGACCTTGAGCGACATATTAGGGAGAGGCCAGCAGCCTCCTCATAGCAGGGGTGAGAGAACACTCTACGTAGGCAGGCGGGGACAGTGGCTCTGGTGGCTAGGGACAGGCACTGGAGAACCAGAATGGCACTGTTTCCACTTGAGCCTCCGCAAGACACACTCTGACCCCAAACCCAGAAGCTGCTGGGAAAAGGAAGCAGAACTCCACTGTCTATGTGGCATCTTTGTACAAATTACAGAAAAGTTCTCTTCCTAACTGCCACCATCAATGTTAGAGTACATGCCTTTGCCTGTCCAGCCGAAACCCAGCCCTCTCACTCCCTGGACACTTTTGTGCAGTTCACAGATTATACAACAGTACCCATGGCTCTACCTGGAATGGATTTGTTTCTCATTAGAGCTTGGGGCTTATGACCCTCCCTTTTTTCTAGCTGGGTGAACAACTGGAACGTGTGCCTCTCCATAATAAGATATCTCCCTTGAGACGGCAGCAGGCAAAGGCCATCTCTGGTAGCCCTGATCCCAGGCATATGCAGTTGTCTTTTAAGGCAATGATTTCCTGCCCTGGCTACATGTGGGTGATGATTTTGCAAGCCTCAGCAATCATAGTGCATGCCAGGCTGGTTAAGTCAGAGCTATGATGTGGGATGCAGGCACTGTTCTGCAAAGCACCCAGGGTACAGCCAAGGTAGATAGCCACTGTGGTAAAACACCCTGGCTCTGGGCCAACAGTACTGGTGGGCATCCAGTCCACCCACAGATGTGCATGATAGCAGGTATCTTCTGAAGAGTTCTGTCCTCTTGGTCTCCTCACATCCTCCAGAGCAGCCTTTAGAAAATGCTGAATGGTGTGAGGCAGGAGAGTGATGAAAGCAAAGCAGGACTGCTGAAGGCACCATGCTGGAGTGGGGACAGGGCAGTGGGGTAAGAGCAGTGCTACAAGACAGGCACAAGGTATAGTGGGAGCCACTCCCTGAGTCTGGCCTTCATGGACCAGCATCTCCCCTTCCTGATCTTAGCATTCAACTTACAGCTTCCCATTCAAGACCTCCCTTTGCCTTGCACTTGTCTCGATCATCCTCCTCCTCCACCCAGCAATCCTGGAGGCATCTGGAGGTTTCCAACACTCACTGCCATATGGAGAGGCACCACTGCCCCATCTAATTACTCCCCATGGACTGTACATCAGGACTGGAAACTGGGCAGAGAAGGCAAGAGAGCCACTTTGCCCTCTATCCACTGACCCTAAGGTCCCAATCAGAGAAGCTCCTGCCCCTTCCCAACTTGCCTTCTGGGTCTGAGCCCAGAGCTTGTGGTTTTGTCCCATTCTAATCCTGATGACCAGAGAAGCAGGCGAGTGAGTGCAGCGACTTAATGTCACGGGGAAACAGCTGCACAGGAAAAGCTCCCGGAGGTGGTTTCTTAAGCAAAACAAGCCTGAGTAGCCCGGGGCTGAGACTCTGGCATCTACTGGCCTCTGGCTCTGGGATGCTGGCCAGCCCGCATTACTCACAGATGGCTTCCTGATTGCTCAAGATGCTGTCACCAGCCCCTAGACTCACCCTGAGACCCTGGTGTCAACATGAGATTTGTCCATCTCTATATCCTTTCACCCCTCTTGGGTGGCCTCTGTCCTAGCCTGACCTGGCTTATACCTGGCCATGAAGGAGAAGAGCTATGCAGTGCTGTTCCTGACCTGCCACGCACAGTATTTCTACTTTCTTTTGTGTGTGTGTGTGTGTGTGTGTGTGTGTGTGTGTGGTGTGTGTGTGTGTGCATGTGTGTGTGTGATGTGCATGTTTATATGTGTGTTCACATGTATATGGGTACTAATGGAAAGTAGACTTTGGTGTTGGATATCTCCCTTGATCACTCTCCACCTTATATATTGCGGCAGGGTCTCCCACTTGAACCCAAAGCTTGCTAACTGGTCTTACTGTGCATGTTTATATGTGTGTTCACATGTATATGGGTACTAATGGAAAGTAGACTTTGGTGTTGGATATCTCCCTTGATCACTCTCCACCTTATATATTGCGGCAGGGTCTCCCACTTGAACCCAAAGCTTGCTAACTGGTCTTACTCCCAGTATCCTATATCTGTATCCCCCAAGCACTAGGATTGCAGGCAAGCTGTCAACTTACCCAGCATTTATGTGAGTGCTGGGGATATAAACTCAGAACCTCACACTTGCATGGCAGGCATTTGACCCTTTGGGCCATCTCCCCAGCCTCTGTATACAGTATTTTTTACAGGGTTTCTGGCATGAGGTAGCTTGAGGCTGAGGACTAGGAGGACAAGAAGACCAGTCTTAGGAACATTTCCAAGAAAAGTGGAAGTGTTTAAAGCATGATCAGGCTTCTAGAGTCAGGGCACTGCCTACACAGAGGCGCAGGCACAAGGGAGCAAGGGCTGAATGTGGAAGGAGAGGCACACAGGAGTAGGGCTGCATACAACAGGCACAGGGGACCTAAGCAGGAGCTGCTCTATGAAGGTGCTGTAAAAGACCATGGACGTTGTGTCAGGGTCCCTGCTTCTCCCTCTGAGGACTTAGCGAAGGGCTTGAAGCTAAGTGAGACAGCCTCTCTCCATGGATCTCTTTCTCCCATGAACCTAGCTGTGGGGTCTCGAGATCCTGAAGTCTTCCTCCTTACTCTCCAGTTCCCCCTTCCTCCCCAGTCCAGACCCTCCCAGCTCTTCCAGACTGTTCCATAGATCTCCCTGGGGCCCTCCTTCCCCTGCAGCTGTTGGAGCTGATTGTCAATAGGACATTTGAGAACCAGTGGATATGAGGCACACTGAGGATTGTGTAGAGCTGTGTGTGGGGGTGGGAGTGTTTGCATTCAAAGCAGGAAGGTTATAACCCACTCTAAATAACCCAACCAGAAGCTCAGATGGTTAAGGGGACACATGAGATGGTCCTCAGCACAAAGTGTATGTGTGGTGGGGTCATCACAGTCCAACAAGTTCATGCCAGTCCTGCACCAGGTAACACATGACTACCAGTGAGTCATTCAACATTCATTTTACTCACATGAAGACTTGATAGCAGTGCATTTTTCAGGAGTATGAGAATTATGAGATATTGACTATAAAGCACCAACCTAGTCTGGACACATAAGTATCTGAGGCAATCTTTGGGGTGTTGAGTTAGGCCCCACAAAAGCCCTGTACTCACCCTTTAGGCTTTTGTTAATAGTCACAGAGATTTGGTATTTAACTTAGTAAGTTCCGTGACCCTGCTGTGTTGAGGTCCTGACACACTCCTAACAGGCAGTGGATTCTGTCCCCTTACTAAGGGGGTGTTTAACACCCTTACCCATCCTCTTCCTGTTGGTGGAGTTCCCCAGGGTCTGAACCTTGCCAGAATGCTAGCTCCTTCGAGAAAAGCAGGCCTTTCAGCCTTGGAAACTGGGAGCTGGGACTCAGGTCCCCTTGGGCTAGGCATGCAGGGGTCTCTGCCACTACCTCACCTAAAGCGCTGGCACCGGGCCCTGGCGGAGTTGCAGGCCGGGCCAGGCACAGAGCTGTGTGTTTCTTCTGGCCTCTTGGTGGCCTTAGGCTGGCTAGCTGGCTCCCAGGGGCCAGGGAAGCCCGAGAACCTGTCTTTCCCGGGACCTGCCACCGCGCACGGCTGACTCCGCCCCGCGCCTCGGGCCCCGCCCCCTCCACTCTGGGTCAGTCCGGAATGGATAGTGCTGCCTGCAAGATCACCAGACGGGCCCCGCCCTGGCCAGTGATTGATCACCAAAGATTACTGTGGCTTTAATGGTTCGCTTGGATGGGAATTAATTCTGGAATGGATAAATAATGCATCGGGGTTTGTGTAGTTCAAGGCAAGCCGGAGCCGGGAGAGAGAGGGTGACGCCAGTGGCCACCCGGCGAACCGGGCATGAAGGGCGACTGGCCAAGAGGAAGAGAAAAGGGAAGTGGATGGCAGCATGATCCGCCCAGCGGGTCTGGCCAGGCGGCTGCAGGAGCATGCTGAGCCCAAAGATCAGACAGGCCAGGAGGGGTAAGTCTAACTTCCTGCGGGTTGCTAGGCGCCCAGCGTGTCCCTTCTGGCAAACGTGCACCGACAGACACTCGGTGACTGTCCTTCCAGGTGTCAGGTGGGGAAGGCGCTCTGGGGCTGTGGCCCCTGGACAGCGAGCGTCTGCGTGACCCAAGTGCAGTAAAGTGAGATTGCTGGGCTATGTGGGGGTCAGACCTGAGATTGCACAAGGGCGGCGACTATTTGAACGCATAGGTAGTGAGCACGTCCACGCCACATTTCAAGCTCTACAGCGTCCCTCAGTTGCTTCAGGAGACCTGGTGGCAACTTGAGAAAAAAACTCTGCTTTTCACTCGCAGCAAAGGCAATACCTAGGCTTCTGCAAAGTCGGGTTCAAGTGGGAGTTCTCTTCTGAGGACCCAAGAGGTAGCTCTATGATGCTGCTGGGACCAACTCCACCCACAACTGGCAGGGAGGCAGTGTGTGTGTCAGCCTACCTTTGGGCCAGAATATTGCCCCACAAAGCAGGGTGTTGGACCATCAATTGGAGAGTTAGGAGAGCAGATTCCAAGATCCCAAAAGATGGTGGTCTATGGTGTCCAGGACTGGGCCAGCCAGTTTGTGTCCCAGCAGAGTGGCCTGGGAACTGAAAGAGGAGAGAGAACAGTTCCCCAGATGGCAACTAGATGAAAACATCTGTCTTTAAAAGAGGGAGGTTACCAGCACTTAGGGACAGCCTACCTTATAAGTAGAGGGCAAGCAGGAGCCTTTGGAAATGGGGAGGCATGAAGGGCAGGGGACTGTTGCTTGGAAGCAGGAGTGGGGGAGGGGCAGGGACCCTGGTGCCTCCTATGAACTCAGAGATGCTCCATGCCATAACATGCCGAAGGCACTTGGTTGACTTTCCTCTGTGAGATTTGCTTTCCAGCTTGTTCAGTGGCTTCAGGACCCCTCTGTGGTTGTTGGGATGGACTGTAAACTGGGAGCTCAGTGAGCAAAGGGCAGACTTCTCTGGCTGCGCTGAGCAGTAGAAACAGTCTGATGATGAGGGGTAGGCCAGGCTGGACCCTTCTAAGCAAACTATTTCCTTCCCTCTGCCTCCCTGGGCCTGAAGAGACAGCCACGAAGCTAGTGAGTACTTGGCATGTAACTGGTCCAAAGAAAAAAGCACATGCAGAATTCTGATTATTTTATTAGTAATTATTTTAGATTGATGACTAGCTGAAATGACAATTCTTTGGATATAATGGGTTAAATAAGCATGTTATTAAAGTTAAGCTCACCCATGTTTTTTCTTTTACTGACTTTTAATGCAGCTGCTGAAACACATTACCTGCTCATGTTAGACCTTTGATGTTTCTGTAGAACCTTGCCAGTCTAGAAAGAGGCAGGTGCTTCAGCAAAGGGGCCTTCCTGAGAAACCCCAAACTTCTTGTATATATATGTGTACACATGTTCATGTGTTCACATGTACCCATGTGTGTACATGCATGTATGCATGTGCAACTTCAGGTATCTGCTATTGTTCTCCACTTTCTTCTTTGTGGCAGGGCCTGCTCTGAACCTGGAACTCACTGATTTGGCTAGACTGGCTGGCCAGAAATCTGTTTCTTTGTCTCACCCCCAGCACTAGTGTTATAGACACACACCACTGTGCCCAGCTAGGGATCTGAATTAAGATGCTTGTATCTGCATGACAAACACTTTACCGCTGAGCCATCTCCCCAGTCCCACCTAACTTCCTTTAAATATTTGAGTCAGTGGCTTTCAATTGGGGAATTTTCCCTTCAGGAACATAGGGCAATGTCTGGAGACCTTTTTTGAGCTGTTCTAACCAAGGGGTGCCACTGACATCCTGAGAGTAGCAGCCAATGATGCTGCTAAACCCCCCACAGCACATAGGACTACCACACAGAATTATCTGTCCCCAAATGTCAACAACACCAAACCTGAGGAGCCCTCTGTAACTAGGTGATATCACCCAATCTGGTTAGACGTGTGACAAGGTTAAGTTTCTAGTGTGGTTTTTCAGACATTAATAAAAGAATCACTTGCCCACAAAAATGTCTGACCATAAGCCATGACAGAGACATTCTGAGAGCAGGGATTGCAAATGAAGGTGCCGCACACACAGCATCAGGAGGTGGCCACAGGAAACAGTGATTCTTGAGCTGTGGGCTGAGGAATGATGGGGAGCTGACCTGAGGCAGGGTAGAAGAAAGAGGTAGAGGCTAGAGGATGCTGATAGGCTGGGGGGTAGGACAGCACATTGTAGGTACCCCTGTGTCTGTGCGTGTGTGTGTGTGTGTGTATGTGTGTGCGTGTGTAGGACAAATGCGGTTAGAACTGGAGGCAGAAGGAAGCAAGGTGCATACCCTGAGACCACAGCCAGGTCAGGAACCAAGTTAGACTTGCAGCTTGTTAAAAAATAACTCTCATGGCCTGGAGAGATGGCTCAACGGTGAAGAGCACTGGTTGCTCTTGCAGAGGACCTGGGTTCGATTCCCAGCACCCACATGGTGACTAACAACCTCTGTAACTCCAGTTCCAGTGGAATCCAACCGTCTCTTCAGGCAATCACACAGGTGTACACTTATATACATACAGGTAATACACTCATACACGTAAAATAAAAAATAATGAGTACAATATTTTTAAAAATAAATAACTCTCCTTAGGGACATTCCTAGCACTTAAGACCAAAAGTTAGACATTTGTGTGCCTCAAAGAAACTGGACTCTGCCAAATGGAAGAGTTTTTATCAAAATTCACCTAATTCAAAACTTTCAGGAATAGGACAGGGTGTGTTATCAATCCACACATGGTCAAAATGTAAACCCCAGCCCTAATATCCAGCCACCACCTGGTCTAGATTCTTGCAGAACACGCCTATGTGAACACACCTCCAGATTTCATCATGACGTAGGTGTGTTGTGTCACTTGTAAAACACCAAGGATTCCTCTCCTGGGGAGTTAATAAAATCAGTCCTGGAAAAGAAGGCTTTGGGGTCTGACTGAAAAGCTGTTCTCATAGGCTGGTGATGCCTGGGCTTCCAAAGTTCCCTTCCCTGGGGACTACATAGACTGTTAACCTCCTGATAGGTCCCAATTAGGCCAACCTTGAGCGAGCAGGTGAAGACCACCATCACCTTGAAGGGTATCTTCATCTCTCTCTCTAGGGCTAGGAGGAGATGGAAAGACTGGGAACCTCCCAGGAAAAGCCTTACATCAGTTACCTGAAGGCACAGCTGCCTTAGTCTGTTGCTCTAACAGAACAGCTAAGGCTGTATTATTTATAAAGAGGCAGGGCCAGTGTATTAGCTCATTTTCTGACCAAGGCAACTTATAGAAGGAAGAGTTTATTTGACTTACAGTTCCAAAGGCATAAGAGTCTACCATAGCAAGGGAGGCATGACAGGAGGCAGCCAGAGCAAAAAGATGAGAGATTAACTGGAAGTATGAATTCTCAAACCCCGCCCCCGGTGATGTGCTTCCTCCAGCAAGGCCACACCTTCTGAGCCTTCATAAACAGCACCACCAACTGAGGCCAAGTATTGAAATACTTGAGCCTATAGGGCACATTTCAATACAAACTACCACAGCCAGTGAGATGGCTCAGCAGATAAAGGCACTTGAGGCCAAACCTGACAACTTGAGTTCAATCCCCCAAACATTTCATGATTCATGCTGGGTAGCTTTGTCAGCTTGACACACCTGGGTAGAGGGACCTTCAACTGAGGGAATTGCCTCCATTGGACTCGCTCGTGAACATGTCTGTTGGGCATTATTTTCTTGATTGTTGAGTGATTTGGGAGGGCCCAGCCCACTGTGGGCAGTGCCAGCTCTGGGCAGATTGTTCTGTTTGTATAAGAAAGCAGGTTGAAGGGCTGGAGAGATGGCTCAGTAATTAAGAACATTGGCTGCTCTTGCAGAGAACCCAGGTTTGGTTCCCAGCACCCACGTGACAGCTAATAACACTCTGTAACTCCATTTCCAAGGGATTCGATGCCCTCTTCTGACCTCCACAGGAATCGCATGGCATGGGTGCACTTACATATGTGCAGGCAATATACTCATACACATAAACTAAAGATAATAAATAAAATACATTGGGCTGGAGAGATGGCTCAGTGGTTAAGAGCACTGACTGCTCTTGCAGAGAACCCATGTTCAATTCCCAGCACCCACATGGCAGCTAACAACCATCCATAACTCCAGTTCCAGGGGAATTTGATGTTCTCTTCTGACCTCCGCGGGCATTGCGCAACATGGGCAGATTTACATACGTGCAGACAATACACTCATGCACATAAAAATAAAAATAATTAAAATATTTTTCAAAAAAAGAAAGCAGAACAGGCATGGGCCAAAGGAGCAAGGCAGTAAGCAGCACTCCTCCATGGTCTGTGCTCCAGGTTCCTACCCTGAGGTCCCGCCTTAGCTTCCGTTGACGATGGACTGTGAGCTGTAAGCCAAATAAACCCTTTCCTCTACAAGTAGGTTTTGGTCAGTGTTTTCATCACAGCAGTATGAAAGTAAACTAGAAGTAGACAACCAATTCCCTAGCATTATCCTATGACTTACACACACACACACACACACACACACACACACACACACACACAAATAAAAATAAATAAATGTTTTTTAAAAAGGAAAAAGGTTATTTAGCTCACAGTTCTGAAGTCTGAGAACATGGTGTCAGCACGTGCTAGACTCCAGTGAGGGTCTGGTAACAGAGAGCAGAAGAGAGTAGTGGACATGTGTGTGAAAGAGACAGAGGGGAGAAGCCGGCTCACTTCATAACCTATTGTCGCTATAACTAACCTGCTGTCTTAGGAACACATTAATCCCTTCATCCTGATGGAGACCCCGTGATGTGATTACCGGCCAAAAACCTCATCATCACCTATCAATATTTTTGCATTGAGAAATTGGGCATCAACATATGTTTTGATAGAAACCACATCTAAGCCAGGCATGATGGCACATGCCTTTAATCCCAGCACTCTGGAGGCAGA